AATACTTAAAAGTAAGACTAAGAAATTCATCAAAATATGCAAATGAAAGGGTAGCAACTGTGATGGGTGGTATAGGAGAAAGAAGAATGCTTAGAGCAACTCAGGTGAGCAGAAGAACAGAGTAGAACAGAGAGCACAGAAATAGGCAGAAATATTTTTTTAAAAAATTGAAATATAATAAGTCTGCCATCTTATACAGAATGGAGAAAAATAAATGGTAAATAACGAGATGTACCACAGACGAGAAAACAAATGCTGAGCAAGCTAATCCTCTTTATGTAATATGTGAAGAGGGCATTATTATTTTCCATAATAGAAACAAAAATAATTATAATGGAGGCAAAACTGCATTTCTGAAGAGGATGCCTTTTATGAGTATGCTGACATTCTAGCTCTTGCACCAAGGAAAATAAAAATGGTTTAAATTAGCTCTTTTTGTCCAATAGCTTGGTTCCCAGAACATCAGAACCATGAATTTCTTACTGTGGTGTCCATGTGGCAAATGGATGATTACAGAACATCATCAGTAGAAAAATAGAAGATTTACAGGCGTTCCAGACAGTGTAATGCAAAATATTTTAAGTTTAATTCATTCTTATGGTACAAAAGGCTCTGTTATTTACAACAGAGCATGCCAGTTTGTGGTGATGTAGCGGATAGAAAGAGCAATGGACTAGGACTCAGAAGGCTTGAATCTGAATCCCTGCTCAGCCATAGAAACTCACTAGGGGATGTGAAACTGGTAAAACCATCCCTTAAGTATTTCACTTACCTTGAAATACCCATTAGGTTCACTATACTGTAAATCCTTTCTTACTTGATGGCACATAACAGCAACAGAAGATGTTTAATTTGTTGGCAGCATGGTTGAGACCAAAGTAGGAAGCTTACTTTTCAGATGGCACTACTAAGCTTTCCAGTGGTATTGATTTGTAGATTTTGGCTGTGTTTGATATTTGTTTATTATTGCTTCTTAATATATTTGGAAATGTAATGCCACCTAATGAAATTAAGCAAGTGGGAATACTTTGTCACCAAGAGAAAAATACAAACCGGTTTCCATATCATTATTCTTCATTGCCTTAAGTTATTCGTTTACTTCAGGGGCAGCATAAATATATTGCTTTTAGATTTAAGTGTGTTAAAAACAGGTGACATTTGGCATTAGGATTCTGCAGTGAAATAATTTGCAGTTTCCTTTTCAGAAAGTTTATTACTTCATAATTGGCTTGAACATAATTCTCAAATAATGTATTTAAATATTGGCAAATTTTTGGGGACTTTTTATTTAGGCAAATATAAACAGCAAGTGATCTGATGAAAACTGTTTAAATATGCAAAAGATATTTATATTGATATTATAATATAATTAATTTTATTACACTTAAGGAGATTTTTTAATACCTCTAGTATAATAGTATTTTTTGTATACTTTTTGTATAAGAGATACTGACCTTATTATGAGTTACACTGTAGTCTCAGACCTGGGTGCAATGTTTAGTTCCAATGTGTTATGAAACTGACAGAAATATTTTGCCAGACATGTATATAGCAGTTCTGTTGCTAGAGAAATCAGCCTTTTCTGTCTGAGGCACAGTTGTGGGCTCCAACTTCCTAGTTGAAGACCTAGTTATATTTATTTATTTATTTATTTATTTATTTTGTTCATACATACATATCCTGTTTCCCCAAAAATAAGACCTAACCTAAGAATAAGCCTTAGTAGGATTTTTCAGGATGCTCATAATATATATACCCTACCCCCAAAATAAGCCCCAGTTCAGTGAAATCTTAGCCCTCCACCCTTGTGCAGCAACCAGAAGAAATTGACATGACTGTGTTTGAATCAATGTACATGGCTGTACATGACAAAAATGAAACATCCCCTGAAAATTAGCCCTACTGCATTTTTTTTGAGCAAAAATATATATAAGACTCTGTCTTATTTTCGGGGAAACACGATAGTTCTAGATACTGCCTTGAGTGGCCGTTTTCAGAGACCTTGCATATAATAATGATGTCAAGTTACATACATACATACATACATACATACATACATACATACATACATACATACATACATACATACATACATACATACATACCAGTAAATTACTCTCTTCCCAATACAGTGGTTCCCAACCTTGGATCCCCACATGTTCTTGGGACTGTGATGCTCAGAAGCCTTCACCACTTGCTGTGCTGTCCAGGATTTCTGGGACTTGCAGTCCAATTAACATGGGAACCAACTCTCTTAATACATATTAGTATGTTATGAAACAGGAATGTCCTAGCTTGTGAGGTGTTTTGGGGAAGGAGCTTCCACAGACCATTCCTTCTTACATTGTATCTAAAACTGGTGGACTCTAGGCTAAGCTGCATAACTTAGGTGCTCCTTGAAGCTGTGCTGCTCAGATGCTTTACTTCTTTCCATTACCTTTACCGATTAGGAAGGACATGGGAGGAATTGAAACCAGCCCTTGAATGGGCTACACAGCACAAAGAACTGCTCTGGTTTTAAACCAAACATCACCTAACTGGAGGAGCTATTTCCTCTCCAGCCCCTAAAGACTTCCAACCTCTGTTTCACATGAGGTCAGGACGGTTGAGAACACAGCTGTTGGTATCTTTGCTCACTCTTTACGAAGTCCTTTGTCTCTGATGGTACACTCAATAAGTTCTATTGGTTGATTTATTTATTTTATATCTCATCTTTCTCTCAAAATTGGGACCCAAGGCAATATAGTTTTAAAATACATTTTTTTAAAAATAAATAAATATCCTGTTGATTAGCATAGTAAATTGAACTAAAGTGGGCCCATTGAATCAGTGGAGATTTGGTGTGTCAGTTCCTCCTGTTGCATAACATGCACAACTAGAGTAGGCCCCATTTGAATCAATAGAACTTATGGAGGAGTTGGCTCACCAAATCCCCATTGATTCAGTACGCCTAGTCTAGTGCAATTTACTACACTAAGCAGCAGGATTTCAATCAGCATGTTTTATTAATTAGACAAAAGTAATTCCAGGCATATCTTTGCTAGCACTCCTGCTAAGCAACAATATTTTGGCCACTGGAGTTACAAATATAAACAATTGTGTTAAATTCATTGTATCATTAAAATATAGAATTAAAACACTTTAAAATGAGTTAAAATACTAGTCCTAGCTTACTAAAAAGAGAGAATACCAGCATGCCAGCTGAAATTCCAGTGATAGTGATTTTTGGAAATTAAAGATCACACCTCTTTTTCCCTCCTCTTCTAATGCCTTCTCCATGATGAAAGACATCGTAAGCGAACTTTAGCCACCTAGAGTAGTCTTAATTGATTAGAGAAGCGGGATATAAAATAAATAAATAAATAAATTTAGTCAGAAGGAATTGGAAATTTTTTATTTCTGAAAAATAACTGTGGCTGGTGATGTCAAGCAACAGGATTTCAGCCAGTTATTTGAGAAAATTAATTGGCAAAGGCCTGCTTGAGACAAAACATCTTTGCTTGTCAGTGGAAGAACAGCAAGGAAGGGGCAAAGCTAGTTTCTCTTGAGAGCTCCAGGCTGTAGGGGCTTCTATACAGAAGGCCCTCTCTTGAGTCACTAGTAGAGATGGAGGCATTTGTATACAGTCGTGCCCCGCTTGACAATTACCCCGCATTACGACGAATCCGCTTCACGACGAAGTTTTTGCAATCGCAATTGTGATTGCAAAACAATGTTTTAAATAGGGTTTTCTCACTTTGCGATGATCGATTCCCTGCTTCAGGAACCGATTCATTGCAAAACGATGGTTTTTTAACAGCTGATCGGCGGCTTCAAAATGCCCGCCAGCTTTCAAGATGGCCCCCTGCTGTTTTCTAGGGACGGATTCCTCGCTATACAGGCACAAAAAATGGCCACCATCTGGAGGATCTTCGCTGGACGGTGAGTTTTCAGTCCATTGGAACGCATTGAACGGGTTTCAGTGTGTTTCAATGGGTTTTTAAATTTCGCATTACGATGTTTTCGCTTAACAGTGATTTTCCTGGAATGAATTATTGTCGTTAAGCGAGGCACCACTGTACAAATACCCCCGCAAAGGTGGAGATCTGATGTACTAATGCCGCAGGGTGCCGGAGATCACGATCACCAAGCCACTCTTCAAACTGGCAGAGAAGCTTGTCATCCCGCCTCCTGCCAGGAGTGGCTTGGCGATTGCGACCTCTGACACTATGGGATGGGAGTACAGACCCCATGGCATTAGAGCATCAGTGAATGGACCATCCAGCCCCAGGGGGGCCGACCTTTGTTATCTCCATCTCTAGTCACTACCAAACAAGCCTTTCAAGATATAAACACCATGAGAAGGGACTCTCCAGCAGATCTCAAAGGGCAGACAGACTTATATGGGAGAATACAGCCTTTCAGATTGCCTGGGCCCAAGTCACATAAAAGTTGATACTGTGACCAGAAGTGATATCCTGCACTGAGAGAAGAACTCAGTACAAGAACATGATCTAAGAAAGGATTCAGAGGAATCTCTGGTGCGGGTGGTAAAAATTTAAGCAGGCCGGTCACATAAGAAAAGGCTGAAAGAGCTGAATGGGTGTGCCTTAATGTTCCCTTAGTCATTGTGGGAAGATCAATAAGTCATTGATCAATATTTTAAATGATGTGAGAAAGAAGAGAGGGGAACAGATGTGCATCACAACGAGTGAGGGAACATATTTCAGTGATCAGGTTTGCACGCAGTGCTGAGCTTTGGTATGGCATTACACGAGCAACTCTTGGGTTTGTTTGTTCACTCCCTTATGTATTCCAGCTCCGTCCCCAAGTTCGATTTCGGACAAACCAATTCGTTGTTGCATCCAAATTGATCAACTTATTATCTGCGTGCTTGTGGGGTCATGAAGCTTGAATGCCTTTCTTTTGAATTGATTGATTGATTGAACTTATATGCCGCCCATCTAGACATTGTCTACTTTGGGCAGCTCACAACAGACAAAATAAAAACAGTTAATATCTAATAACAATCTATCAGCAATATACAATGATAACAATAACTCAAAGTGGAATGAAGGTATAAAGTAGTGCCTGGAGGGAAGGCCTGTCTGAATAACCAGGTCTTAAGTTGGTTTTTAAAGATGCCCAGCGAGGGAGCCAAATGGATCTCGGAGGGGAGTTTGTTCCAAAGAGAAGGGGCCACTGCCGAGAAGGCCTGGTGTCTTATTTTTTCCTCCCGGACCTTCCTCGGCGTTAGGCCCCTCAATCACCGCTCCTGACTAGATTGAGTGATGCAGGTAGATCTACGTGGGAGGAGGCGCTCCACCAAGTATCGAGGTCCTAAATCATTTAGGGCTTTATATGTAAGCATCAGCACTTTGAAGTCGATGCAGAATCGGATGGGCAGCCAATGCAATGCAGCCAGAGTGGGTGAAATATGTTGGTATTTTCTCACTCCACTGAGTAATCTGACCACTGCATTCTACACCACCTGCAGTTTCCGCAGCAGCCTCAAAGGTAGCCCCACGTAGAGCGCATTACAGTAGTCTAATCTTGAGATTACGAGCGCATGCACCAAAGTGGTGAAGGCCCCAACATCAAGGTAGGACCGCAGCTGGGCTATCCGCCTAAGGTGAAAAAAGGTGGTGCGGACCACAGATGCCACCTGGGATTCTGTCTGTCTGTCTGTCTGTCTGTCTGTCTGTCTGTCTGTCTGTCTGTCTATCTATAGGAGGGAACTGCAAGAGTGAAATGTTTTTAGTTAATGCATAATTATACCATGTCTAGGGTAGTTTGTAGCAATTTTATATGATGAAAGAAATGGATAGAACATGGCCCTCTGAGTCGCTTCTTAGAATCCCTATTGCATTTCTAGCTCTGCTGTACAATAGTTCATATGTCACTGCAGAGCCAGACTCCTGATCCCATTAATTTTGCCATTCATGGTTTGATGGGAGATCCAGAATTCTCTTAATATTTGCACAGAAGTGCTGCAGAAATTTTAATAGGCATTCCCTGGAGAGTAGGATGCTTAAAACTGGAGCCAAGCTTATTTGTAGGTTTGCATGTCAGGATCTAGTCACTGTTTTGTATCAGTGAAACTTTTTCCCCCCAAAATATGATCAGGTAATTGTCTATGAAGGTTTGTATCTGATTCTTAGAGAATGTAAAGTTTTCCTTCCTCAACAGCTTTTCATCTGTATATGAGTAAGGCCCCTAATTATAATCTGCTGAAAACCATTTAAAAACTTTTAGAAAAGCCTTTATAATCATTATGGTATGTAGCTTTATATTGTCCACTTCTAAGTTAGTTCATTCAGTGCAGCTGTTAGAAAAACATAGTGATTGATTGCTGTTGGTGCCTGTGAATATGACTGTAACTTTCCTGTAGAAAACCTGGGACTGTCATTTTGTTCTGCTCAATACCTTTCTAAGGCATAGGGAAACAGAAGAAAATATGTACAGTGGTGCCCTGCATGATGATGATAATCCGTCCCAGGAAAATCGCTGTTTAGTGAAATCGTCATTATGCGAAAATCCTTTCCCTATTGGAATGCATTGAAACTCGGTTTAATGTGTTCCAATGGGGAAAATACCTCATCGTCCAGTGAAATCGCCCAGAGGGAAGCCATTTTGTGAGTGCCGATCAGCTGTAAAAATGGCTGCCCTGCGAAGCATGGGTCCGGAAAACACAGGGCAGCCATTTTGTGGAGCTGGAAAAATTGTCATCTTCCAAACAAATGGTTCGCAAAGCACGGACCTAATCGATGTCCAGCGAAAATCCCCCATAGGAATGACTGTTTTGCGAATCATTATAGCGATTGCAAGAAGTCATCGTTATGCTGATTCGTTGTTTAGCGGGGTCATCATTTAGCGAGGTACCCCTGTATGCGCAGTATCACAGTAAAGGTAAATGTTTCCCTTGACATTTAGTCCAGTCGTGTCTGACTCTAGGGTGCGGTGCTCATCCCCATTTCCAAGCCATAGAGCCAGAATTTGTCCAAAGACTGTTTCCGTGGTCACGTGGCAAGTCCGAGTAGACACACTCACAGACAGTTCAGTAATTCTATATATCCAGACCAGTGAGAAAAAAATTATACTAAATCTCTATCATTTGGGGCATTATAAGCCAATTTCAGTGCTTTTGATATGAAAACCTACATAGATAAATTTCCCTTCCAAAATCTTTCATTACATGTCATGTTGAGTTTAGTGAACTCGTGCTTTGTTAAAAAGAATAGAATGGAAAACAGACCTAAGTCAACTCCTCTTTTTGGTATCTATTTGTCGGTTAATAGTATATCATAATATAGATGTGGTAAAAAAAACTGAAGGATATTACAACATTTAACGGCAAGAGCAATAACTTTATATAGTTATTTTGATCAATAATCTTAGCTGTGTGGTTTAAGTTGTGTAACTTATTTAATATTTTGTTTCTTAACAAATTCAACTTCTTTGTTTTACAAACAGAACGGGAATTTGACCCAAATAAGCACTGTGGAGTATTGGATCTTGAGTCAAAGAAACCATGTACAAGATCACTCACCTGCAAGGTAGCTTTCTTCCTAATTGGAATATAATAATGCTTTGTGACAGACGTAAACATTTTACTAATGCATACTGAATGCCATAAACATTATTCTGTTGGATATTTGGAATAGAAATACTTGCAAAAGTATCTAATCTGTTTTCACTGAGTAATTGTGGCTACCAAAGAACTACTGAATCCCCACATTCCTTTGTGACCAAAGGAAATAGATTGCTCCTAAAGCATATTTAATAATAATATTATTTAAATAATAATATTTAGTATTAAATAGATTTCACTTTCCTTTGGCACTAACAAGAGAACTAAATTCACATTTATATAGTGCTGTGTACTTAGTAATCCTGTCTGTATCACTTTATTGTCTCCATGACTTGGATCAAAGTTTATTTTTCCCCTTTACTATATTGATGTGGCTTGGCTGGATAGCTCAGTGGTTTAAGTATTGTTGCTGGGGAGCCAGAGGTTGGGAGTTTGATTCCCCACTTTGCCTCCTCAGAGAAGAGCCAGCCTGTGTAACCTTGGGCAAACTGAAAAGTTCCCGAGTGCCCCTAGAAGTAGGGAATGATAACCACTTTTGTGTATTCTCTGTCTAGAAAACCCATAAGTCAGAACCGACTTGACACACAATTATTATATTATGTTAATTATGTATTTTGTCTTAATTCAAAAGCTGCACATTAAATTATTTTTGGTTTTTGGGAAGCAAGGAGACAAAATGGAAGTCTCAGTTCTCTTTACATCTGGAAATGGTGTCCCTAGGCATTTCCTTTCCAAAAGGATGAATGAATAAAACTATAGAATATTCCCTGCTTATAGACAGAGAGGCTGAAGCTGGGAGAGAATTACTTGTCTCACCAAGTGACTTTTACCACTCTGTTGAGCTTTGATATGGGCTTTTTCTGCTCACAGGTAATGTATGGGGTTAAGAATAGTGTGCTTTTGAGATCACAGATGTTGACTAACTGAAATATTGTTGAAGTAAATCGAGTGAAAGAGGCATTTAGTGTGCAGGTGGGGGAGTACAGGGAAACAGTGGGAAGTACTAAACAAAAATGTTACTCACCTGGAGTAGACATTCTACTATCTTTGAGGGTTCTAAAATCAATTTTGATCCAAGGTTGGCACCAATTCTTATTTGGTCTGGTATGCGACAGAGGAGGAAAAGCCATTTTATTACTCAGCTGCTACTTTGCCAGAGACTATGACAGATACAGAGCTGGCTTCGGTATTGTGATTGTGCTTGGCAGAGTCATGGCCCATTTCTGCAGTACGAAAGTGCCTTTGTAGAAAAGGAAGATGGTACCTACAGTATTATCCAGTGCAAGACATATTCAGTTTGTTGGGTTCCAGTTGGAGAGTTAAGGCATACAGTGAACCCACTGCATGATAGGTGCATAAATTAAACATAAATCCTTAGTGAATAGCAGTGCTTTTCAAGGTCATACTTCAGCTCATCCTTCCAGTGGTCATGCTAGCTGGGGATGATGGAAATAATAATCCAATACATCTCACAAGGCTGCTTTAGCTAAGTAGCAAAGAAAATGCTAGACACAAAAACAATATTTTATTTCCATTTCAAGAGATGTGGAAAAGGCAGACCTCCCCCCCCCCATCTGAGTGACCTGTAGCACAGAAGCTCCTTGCATTAGGACATGTGCAGTGTAAACCAATGGACAAAAGCTCCAAAAATAATATTTCTAGGTGTGATTGACCCCATGCTTCAAACTGGAGAGCCTCTGCCTTAGGGTGTGCAGTGTCTTGTTAGGTAAGGAGGCCTGTGCTGTTCTGCTGAGATCTTTTCAAGGAGATATATTTTTCCTGCCACTTGCAGTTGAAAAGCTATTAAACATTCATGTTGAAGTAGCAACGGTGTTCTTTCCAGTCCTGGTTTACAATTAATAATCTACACAGCAATTTATTCTCTTGGAATTCCTTCTCATTCTAGTTAAGATGAAACACTTTTAAAAAGAGATATTTCTTTATGTGACATCAGGATGGCAATTATAATAACCAAATATGTCAGAATGCTTCTACTAAATATCTAAAATATATAACTCACTGATACTGAAAAGCAAAGCAAGTATCTGTCCTTATAAAAATTACTTTAGATTTAGCAGTCAGTTCACTGTAATTTAAAAGGCACAACAGGCATGCTGTGGATGTATTAGCAATGGAAATATGAAGACTATTTTCACAGAATGCCACTATCACTAAAATTATATTTCTATAATGTTGTAGGATGGGTGATCTAACATATAAAAACTATTTCATTTTTGTCAGAACTAAAATATTTCAGTGCTTAATCTGTTTATCGAATAGATTTTTACAGTTCTGTAACTGATTTTCTGTACTTACCCCAATGTTTTTTAACTACCCCGTTTTTAGACGCATTCACTTAATCATCGGCGAGCAGTTCCAGGACGTAAAAAGCAGTTTGACATATTGCTAGCTGAACATAAAGCTCGGTCTCGGGAAAAAGAAGTGGCAAAAGAAAAGGAGCATCCACAGTCTGTAAGGGAAACACATCAGAACCAGTCTGTGCCCGTACAAGATCCTCCATCTGGTGCATCAGTTAACTCTGCGCAAGAATCTAAAGGGACATCACCTGCAAAATCTAGACTACCCAATTCAGTATTTCCTAGGTAAGTAAGTGGACTACCTGGACTATAGGATTCGAGGAAACTTGGGCTGTTGTCAAACAGTGAAACTGATTTTCTGCTAGGCTTGACTCGATTATTCTATATAGAGGAGTTTAAAAACTTACCGTATTTTTCGCACCATAAGACGCACTTTTCCCCCACAAAACAGGGGGGTGGAAAGTCTGTGCTTCTTATGGAGCGAAGAAAACAGATTATATTTTCCTGTTTTCTTTTAAAAAAATTGGTGCGTCTTATGGAAAGGTGCGTCTTATGGAGCGAAAAATACGGTACCTTGGACCTGTCCATATGGGAATTTGGAGCAGTCTGGTTTGCGCTTGCTTACCTTTTCAATGCAATCTATTGTATCTTTCACTTGAGCGATTCTTCTGTTCACACTGGAGATGTTGATTCCACCCTAAGAAGGATCCACACAGGTCTTTGGATCAGAAGCCAGGTTTACCTGGCTCACTCACATGTACATTTATCTCTGAGTATGTCTACATGGTTTATGCATGAGTGAGGAGCCGTTGTCAGCAATAGCAGCCAAGGATAGTGGGAACATGAGGGGAAAACATTGGGGTAAGGTTGCGGTGATGGATGGTAGGTACCCCCCTTTTTTTTCCTGCCTTTCCCTTCAGTCAGGGTTCTGCTGGAGCTGTGCTGCCTTCTGGGGGCAAAGCCCGTGGAGCTGACATCGCCCCCTAAGAGGTTTCTATGAAAATAGAGGAAGAGTGTAGTGGCACAGTGGTTAAACTGCAGTACAGCAGTCAGAACTACTCACAACCTGAGTTTGATCCCAATGGGCTCAGGTAGCTAGCTCAAGGTTGACTCAGCTTTCCATCCTTCCAATGTTGGTAGATTGAATACTTCGCTTGCTGAAGAGACAATGTGTAGCCTGCATAATTAAATTGTAAATTGCCCCAGAGAGTGCTTTAAGTGCTATCGGTCAGTATCTAAGCAGCACACTTTGCTTTTCTCTGTTCTCTCTTTTAATGACACAACCCAGCTAATACATCACTGGGTTGTCACTTCAGATAATGCCACCCACAGTTCCATTTGGGTGTGAACTAGCCATTTGCACAGGCTACACAGCAGGCAAAGCAGAAGTCTGCTAAACCATAACCCTCCCCCCCCCCAAAAAAAAAACCCCACCAGAAGAGCAGGACAGCTCTTAAAAGAACAGGGTGAGTCAGTCTAAGTAGAAATATGTGTGGATGCCATAATTTGGTTCAAACCAAATCATACCAACAGCAGTCCAAATACCACTCTATATATTCATCCGGACAGGGCCTTTATCAGTGCAGATGGTGCTGTAGCTTTTTGACTTCATTCTCCAAATGACAATTTTATTTGTAAATGGTAGTCTTTGTAACATTTACAGCCCTCTGAGTGTCTGATTGTAACTATGCATCAGTGAAAGGAGAAATTAGAGTACAGTTCTTGAAACAACGTTGTCAGCATATTTGTTGTATCAGGTAAACCGGTCGCCAAAAGAGGGAAACAGCTGCAAATTGTGGGGTGGGGCAAGTGACAGCACACCTCCAAATAGAGACAAGAAAGAATGCAATTTAAAAACGGAGGTTATCAGAATGAGATGTTTATGTGCACCCCTCTGTGGAGAAGTCTCAGTATAGAAAAAAAATGTTTGATGCATAGAACCTTAACAGATTATTCCACATGGTGAAGAATATGGTCGAGAAGAAAAGACTTCTAAAGAGACTCCTGCCGACTTTAAATATTGTCTTTCAAGGATGTAAGCTTCCTTGGGTCCTTTTTAAGGAGAAAAATCGGGTAAATATATTTTAAATAAATAAATACCATGCAGGAGGTAGTAGAAATAATAATCAAATTATGCTGTCAGACAAGAGTAACATAAATACATTATGAAACCCTCACTTAAGGTATATATATGTACTTTATATTTTTTGCAAAAGTTAAGGTTTGCTGTATAGAGGTAAAGGTTTTGCTCCTTTTCTTTAAAAAAGGAATAGGGTGTCAGGGAAGAATAGTAGTTGTGGGGGCAAAAAATAGGCTTGAGGGCAGGCACTCTTTGTTCTGTGGACCCCCACCCACCCTCCCAATTCAGAGGACCTGTTCTTTTAATAGAAACTAGGGACTTATTTTGAAACTGTTCTTCACAATCAGGGCTCGAGTGTTAAACCTTCTTGTTCATGAATGATATAGAAAGGATCAGGTTCCAGTTTGAAGTCAGAATGTGAAAAAGTTTCTGTAGACCTGGTCTGTGACCAGAATCCTACAGGTGTTTGTGCAATGTTTGTGTAACTTGCCATGGCTAGTTGTGACTAAGTGACAAGCTGCTGCGGGGGTATCTCGGCTGCACATTGAGGATAATGACTAGGCATGCAGCCAAGACACACTCTGATACTCTGTTAGCCGCAGCAAGCTATGCAGACCTTTGGTGAATGCCAGTAGGATTCTGGCTTTTGAGTCTCAAATAGGAATTCTGTATTAAATCAACTGTACTTTAAAAGCCTTGTTTTATGTCTAGGGCACTGAATGTAGCAACATTTCACTATTTTTTCAGGTTCTCTAGGAAATCTTTATTTTGTGATCCAAGCACAGGATCTATATAGAAGGCAGAATTGGAATCTATAACATTTGCCTTGTGCAAGTACAATAGGATTACACTGTTAACCTTTCTAAGAAGCTGACTTTGGAATTTTTATACTGTATTCTTATTTTTTTTAATTGTTCTTAGGCCTCCCTCTGCAAACAGCATAAACAGCACTAGTTCTTTGAATCACGGTGGATTTGCACAAGAACTGCCTCTGCCTTCTGTGGGAGGAGATTTGCCTAGTAGATTATCCAGTGACGAGGGGGAAGTAGATGGACCTGAAGAACCTGAGAAATTAGACTGCCACTATTCTGCACACCATCCTCGACCCCTTGCGGTATGTCTCGTTTTCTCCAGCAACTTTACTTATTGTTAATACTTGTGACCAGCTGCAGGTTCTTACTGAAAAGTTGCTTTTTTACCAAAGCAAAATCGCCATGTAATGACACGGCTCACTGATAAACCTTATTAAAAAGCTGAAGAGGGAAAAGATGAGCGTAATGAGATTTCAAGAATGTACAGTTTTGCAAATTTTACTTTTCTTCATATAGACTGTCTGGCTGAAATTCAGTTGGTGCAACTTTGATGCATATATGGTGATGTCATCATCCTGTGACATTAATTGTTATTTTAATTTAATGTAAAATTCCTTATCCTCCCTCTTTAGGTTCAGAGGCTCCTCGGGTATCTGTTTTGTCTTGGAGAAGCCTTTCAGAGCCTTGGGACTTAGGGAGGGAAGGCCTTTAATATTGGAAAATTATCACTGGCAGTCCTCTGTATGCTTAGAGGTGCATGGCATATTGAAGTCTTGTACATTTCTCTTTGGTCCTAAGTTCAGTTTTACTTGTTAGTGCACATAAAACAGGTTTACTTGGGGGAAGAACTAGCATCATGTCTCCATTCAACCAGGAGAGTCACTGTTCATATTCATATTTGACTTTTAAAACACAGGTACAAACAGTGCTCAAATATAAAAGGCAAAACTTATATATAGTCCTAGTACCTCTGAATGTCCTGCACAAGTTGAAATAGCCCAGCTTTCATGCACATAACAGAGAATTGGCAAATAAGAAAACATCAGGCTGCCATTTCTCTGAGAAAAAGGAAATGCTCCCAGCTCCGTGGAGAAAAAGACAAAGGGTCTTGCAGCACCTTAAGTGGAAGGGGATGTGCTTTGTGATGGTCTAGGGGCTCCCTCCTCCCAAATGGGACAGGTCACATTCCCACCAAACCTGTTCTCCTCACGTTGAAAATATTATGGAAAAAAAGCAACTAGCATCCCTAGAGATCTTGAAAGGTATAAGTACATTCTAAGTTTTGTATTATTGCCCGCCAGACCAGGCCTGTATCAGGTCAGAGAAAGCTGATCTTAGAATTATGAAGTGATTGGATGTCCAGTTTTTTGAAAAAGGCTGCTTTGAGCATGAAATAAATTAGAGAATGAGTGTCAGCCTTTAAATAGAAGACTGTGCCCACTTGAGGTTTCTGTGGTTGCTAGCTGCCACCTTTTCTTATTTTTAGCGGGAAGGGGTGTCAATTTGGGGCCTCCACTTTTTTCCTTCTTGCCTTAAAGTTGCACATTTGGTCTAAGCTTCATGGACACCAGCCCAGTTGACTGATGGTATCATTCATGAAAGCTTATGCCAAGTAAAACTTAATAATCTTAAAGGTGCCTAACAGACTATTTTTGTTTTTGTTTCTCCTGCAGCAGACTTAACCCCATATGAAATTTCAGCCAAGGGTGTGATCACATGGGGAAATAGATTGCAGTTTGGACCACTTATAGTGGTCAGTGCAGTCTATTTCCTGGCAATCAGGAGATATGTCACTCTCATTAAAATGACCCTTTCTGGTGTGATCAGGCACGTACCTTTGCAGCCATCTCATCCCCCCCAAAATGTGTTATTCTTAATCCCAAATTTATACAAATGAGATGTGAAGAATCCATGCTTTGCCATGGGCAAGTCTAATTCATGTTATGTTAAACACAAATTGTTAAGTGCTTTCTGTGCCAAAATACAGTGCCTGTTAGTTAAAAGCGATATCATCGAAAGGATCTATTACACAGTATTTGATTGTTGCTCCATTATTCTTTTCTTCCAAAACTTTATATTGTTCTGTAACACATTAAAAATTCTACTGTGTCAGTTCCATGTAGTTTCCCCCGAGGTAGAAAACATAGGAGAGAATATAACCTAATAGTGAAGATAAACTTAATAAAATTACCTTAAACTTTGGTTTTTATAAGGCTGTGTTCTACACAAATACAACAGCATGAATCCTACTTAAAATTTACACTTGCATAAGGGAAACTTTGTAAATCTTGGTGGCACATTGCTGCTCAGGAACAAGATACAGGATGCATTTGCGAGTGCAGCCCATTAACGTCTATGTGCAGGAAGTACAGAGTCATGTCAGAGGTCACAGCATCACAAATTCAGGAAAGCAGGATAACAACACAGGGGCTAGTATTCTGCTGTGTATTTTCTCCAGTCCAGGGGTGGGCAACGGCAGAGGAACGTAAGGGTCATTTCCCACCACCTGAGATTCCTGTAGATCTTACTAGCCTGTTCTTATGAAACAGAATTATTCATTTTCCAAAACATGGCGCAGTGGATGTGCCTTGTTTTATGACAGGTTTTTGTTTGTTTGTTAATTTGTTTTTAACAATGGGGGCCGTGGAGTACTTGAAGCAGTAGAAATGACCAGTAGCTTGAATTTTTTTCTACCTGGCTCTAGTTCAAATAACATTACATTTGTGGACACAAGTTCTGGACAAGTGGAGAACCTTAACACAGGTTCCAGTGTTCAAGCTTCCAGTGTCTGCGAAGGCTGCAGCTCTTTAGTGCTGCAATTAACTTTACTTGACTCAAATAATTTGTTTACTTGGCTCATGTCTAATTTTGACTTCTTGATTTCCTATAAAGTATTAATCAGCAGCTTTCTTTTAAGCATGTATGCACATACTAAGTTATCTTTACAATTCCACTATGTCTTGTTTCCTCCGTTTTCAGTTTTGTTCATTTGGGAGTCATTTGATGGGAAGAGGGTACTATGTATTTGACAGAAGATGGGATCGTTTTCGACTAGCACTAAACTCCATGGTAGAAAAACATTTAAATTCACAGATGTGGAAGTAAGTATACAACACATGCTATTTACACCTGTGTGTGGTGTTTCTAACCATCTAACTATTGCAGTGCAGAAAACGTTACTGTCTTCTATGAAAAATAGATACAGTGGGGTCTTGACTTGAGAACTTAATCCGTATTGGAAGGTGGTTCTCAAGTCAAAAAGTCTGTAGGTCAAGTCTCCATTGACCTACAGCGCATTGAAAACCGATTAATCCCGTAACAGGCCGTTTTTGTTCCATTTTGGTTTTTTTCTGGTCTGTAAGTCAATTCTCAGGCTGCAAGTCAAACCTAAATTTTGCGGCCAGAGAAGTCTGTAACTCAAAAAGTCTGTAAGTCAAGCCATCTGTAAGTCAAGGGTCCACTGTAATGCAAATGGTCCCAGGGAAACAGAAGGGGCAACATTGATGAATAATCACAGTAACTTATATTGGAAGCCGCCTAGAGTGAACGAGTAGTCCAGATAGGCGGGGTATGTATGTATGTATGTATGTATGTATGTATGTATGTATGTATGTATGTATGTATGTATGTATGAA